ACACAAAGGAGGAGGAAAGAGAGCCCTGAGCCCAATTTTACATGTGTTTGTAAAGACAAAAAATGCAAGCGGGTGAGGGGGTTTGGGGTTAGGGGCTAGCAAGCTCTTGATTGGTTGGGCCCAGGTGGTAGGTTGTTGGCCAGGCTCATGCTCCTTATCTGGCACCGGAGTCTGTGTTTCTAGGAAATGTTTTGCAAGCCCATCTGCAGGGGTCCTTCCTGGTCAGGAATGCCTGTTCTCAGGCTTTTCTGGGGCCTAGGGCAACTGAAAAATTTCCATCTTAACAATGTAAGCATGTAAGCGAGAACCCATCCCAGGGAGGGACTTTACCATTCTCTTGAGGACCACAGTGGCTCTGGGACTTTAGCTTGCTGCTCATGAGACCTCAATCCAAAGATGAGCCTGACTTCAGTTACAGCTTTCCATATCCCTGGTGTTTCCTTTCTTCTACGTGACAGGGCAGAGTGACATTCATGTTGACTGTCTACATAAACTAAGCTTGTTGAACAGAGCCAGCTAACCTGCATGTAGAGTAGTTGTTTTGTCCAGACAGCAGATTTCCCACAAGCCCTTGCAGAGGGAGGAGAGGGACTGTGTTTTACATCAGAATTAGGAATGTCACTAACTTTTCAGGGGTGTTGGTGAGTGGTCAATGGACATTTGCTGTTTTGAGACCCATGTACAGAAAGGAGAATTAGAAACTGAATAAGGCAGAGGAAGAGGGTGCTGATGGGGGGGGGGGCTCATATGGCTTGATGGGTGGGGTCAGAGGTGATACGGAGAACCCAGAGGGAGGAACTGGAAATCCTGACTTTTTTTTTTTTTTTTTTCTTGCACGATCTGAGAGAGTCATGTGGTTCTGGACTGTTGGCAGAAAACTGGGACAGAGTCTTATGGTGAGTTTACTGTGCCCGTGGGGTGGTCTGGGAAAATCACCAGTCAGCAGCGCAGTGGCGGGAAACGAGAAGCGGTCTTGATGCAAAAACATGAGGTCTTGTTTATTCCACTGGGGTCCACAGTCATACGCCACACAGGGGTAGAAGACTGAGACCCTGAGTACATAATTGAGACAGTTTTTATAGGGTTACAACAAAGCCTATGCATGGTAATCCAATCATCTCATAGCATCAAGAGCCCGCACAATGTGGGCCAATCATTTTAAACCATCCAAGCCCTCACTTTATAGACCAATCAGTTTTCTACAGCCCTGGAGGCCTGAATTTGTGCAGGCTCCTAGGTGGGGTGACAAATGGCAGTTAGGTTAGGTCACTGAGGCAGGGGTTTCACAAGCAGTTTACAAAGTCAGACAAGCTGCAAGGAGTGTGACTTTCACCTATTTACTGGCTGAGGACAGGGCCTGGAATTTAAGGTATTTAGTATTTTTAAACTTCTAGCTTCCTGGGGTCACTAGAGAGTTAGGCTGTATTTTTCCATCCTCACAGATCAGTCTACTTTGCTGCAATTTCTTTAGGTCTGAAGAGATTCACACACATACACATTTTCACTGTTGCTATCTCACACTTGAGGTTTTAACCCAGAGTGCAATGTCTTTACACACTTCTTTAAATACACAAGAAAAGACAAACTTCTATAATCAGGTGACTGTCACAAGGGCTCTATGCAAAGAAAAAAGCTAGCTGGGTGGTGATGGCACACGTCCTTAATCCCAGCACTCCTGAGGCAGAGACAGGTGGATCTCTTTGAGGCCAGCTTGGTCTACAGGGTGAGTGCCAGGATAGGTTCCAAAGCTACACAGAGGAACCTGTCGGGGGTGGGGGTGGGTGCTGACTTGAAGGTTGTAATTGCAACTTCAATCTGCCTGAGTAATTTATTGTATTTATCATTGTGTCTGAAACAGGAAATATATAAACTTCGATGATAATATGCCAGTTTTGAGGTTTGTATAATGTGCAAAAATATTTTTAAAGAAACCATTTCAGAATTTTATCAAATTCTGTGAAGATTAGCCTTACAGTACAGGCATTGTGGTGCACACTATTAATCTCAGGCAGAGCTCTGGGAGTTGGAGGCCAGCCTGGTCTACATAGTGGGTTTGAAAGGATAATACAGTCTAACTCTCTAATGACCACTAAAAGTTATAAATTTAAAAATATCTACCTGCATGTACTTAAAAATCACACTAACTACATGCAAAGCTCAGGAAAAAGAAAACATATGAAATAGCTTGGTCACGGTGACCAGTTTCTGGAAATTATTATTATTCATAACCACCTAGTTTCTGAGGAATGTTGTAATCCACAACAGCAGTCTGGGAATTGTTATGGGTCATCCTGTCCATGAAGAAAATTAATAACTAAAAAATACAGGACTCATGGCAAGAAGGGAAAACTAGAAAGAACAAGTGCTTCTGTCAATAAGATATATATAATTCCCTGACTGGAGTGTACATTCTCCCTGCCTCCCCCCATTATCTTAAGGACAAGGCCACTGAGCCCCCTGGTCCTAAAGAACACTCCATAACCTTGCAGGAGCGCTAAACAATCCTGCCTTGTAAAAAACTGTGTACTCTATGAAATCTCTGTAACCTTGGAAAACTTATTAACCATCCAAGCTTTGAACTGTCCCACGACCTTAACTTACCTTGCTTTTAGGCCTAGTGAAAATAACAGGCTAGCTTTGAAACTGGCCTTGTTAGCTTTGAAGTAAATCCTATAAAAGCTGTCTCAATTCTGCCCTCGAGGTCCTCAACCCTCTACCCCTGCGTGGTATATGACTGTGGACCCCAGTGCACTTGGGATAATAATTCTTCATGCTATTTGCATCAAGACCACTTCTCGTGAGTGATTTGGGTGTCACCTTTCCTGAGTGGGAACGTGAAGGTCCACGCTCTGCAGGTCTTTCAGGTTCAATAACAATCAGGGCTTTATGGTGAGACCCTGACTCAAGAAATGCAGTTACACCTTTTCTTCCCACGCTGAGCTAACATATGAGAGGTTCAGACCTGAGGCTGTATCACATGCACTTCATTGAAGCTCATGCCAAGTCATTAAAAATAAATGTTTTCTTTATTAAGAAATCCAATTACAGTGTTTGAGAAACACACCTGATGTGATTTTATAACAAAATGCACCTTACAGGAATTGGAGGAATGGTACTAAGATATGGAAAACAGAGAGATTATTCAGCATTTACAAAGAACAGACAAAATGCATTGGTGCACACTGTACAACACAAGTTTTTGAAGAACAATTTGACTTTCTTCTGATACCTATATTTATTTTTTTTTCCACATAGATCTTGTGGAAGACATCCAGGCATTGTTACTATATAAAGATAGTAATCACCAATTAAATGACTTTGCCAAGAATTTTCAACAAGTACTAATGCTTTCTTGTTTGGTTTCAATGCGTAGCCCTGGCTGGCCTCAAACTTAAGAGTTCTGCCTTCTCCTATCTAGTATTGGAATTAAAGGTGGTTCAAAATCCACACCTAGATCCGAAAATTTTTTCTTGCATATATTCACGACAGGCCAAGCAGTGGTGGCACATGCCTTTAATCCCAGCACTTGGGAGGCAGAGGCAGGTAGATCTATGAGTTCAAGGTTAACCTGGTCTACAGAGAGAGTTCCAGGACAGGCAGGGCTACACAGAGAATCTGTCTCAAAAAAAAGCAAATATTGAGGAAAATAGTTTTTTTGGGGGGGGCGGTGTGGAAGCACACCACACCTCACCCATAAGTGCATTCCTACTGCTACTCAAGAAAGTTCATTTGCATATGTGGTACACAATAAATTTTTCATGGGGCACTGATCATTCCGGAGTGATGCTATTGAGGGAATCTCTCTCACATGAGTACTCCAACAGCACCGAGTGGAGGAATAAATCTATTCACCAGTAGAATGAAGCCAGGATAGTTTCTGCCAGACTTCAGTTTGTATTCTTGTTTTATACTCCAAAACTATTAGGTGAAGCTAGCAAGCAAACAAGTGGGACTTTAATGGCAGTTATCTGGGACATTTGCTTTTCAAATACATGACTCTTGTCCAGTTGACAAGAGTCAGCCTTTGTGGTGTGACTTCCCTGACTCTTGTCTTGGGTTCATCAGCTCTAACACAACAACAATTGATATAAAATCACATAATCATTTTCTAAAGCGAATGATGCTTTTCAGTGTAATCTAATCAACTGTACTTATGTCATTCAATTTCAATACTTAGAATATAAAAATGTTTCCAAAGAACATTTTCCTATTTACTCAAATTGAAAAATCATGCCACTAAAATACATGACAATTTTGTGTGTTTGGTTTCCTTCTCTGTAATACAATGGCTTGTGTCTTATTATTTGTATATGAATCTTCTAGTATCACTATATTCTGTATTTTCACTGAGTATTTCCCAACTTTCTAGAGCATTAAAAATAATTTTCCTTAGAATTTTCTAGCATACACAAGCATACATGTTGCCACAGCCACAAGACCATTTCCATAAAGTTCCCATCTTCTTGCTATTGACAGGTTTTCACTCCACAATGAATATTTTGAAGGTGGGAAAAAGTCTTTCTTAAAGCATTTTCTTACTTTCCTTCAGGAAGAATTTTCAGATGTCTACTATTTTAGCACTACGCAAAGACTTTGACAAATTCAGTCCATTTCTTTGGGTTCCCTAGAGTAGAATTTCTAATGTGCATTGAGGTATAAATGTAGCACAGGGGTAGACATTTATATGATTTCTCTCTGATATGAATTTTCTGCTGTATGATATTTCAAGGAATAATTAAAGGGTTGGTGACATTTTTTAGATTAACACATATTGTCTTCAGTATAAATTTTTTTGAGGTTGAAAAAGTAAAATGTTTTAATGAAAGGCTTTGCACATTGTCACATTTTTGGAATTTTTCCTCACTATAAACTGTTGATGTTTCTAAAGATTTAAAAATTCCCTTAAGTCTTTTACAAACTTCTCATGTTCATAATGATTCTCTGGTGTGGAGACTGCACTTGTCCCTACCAGCAGAGCTCTGGAAAAAGCATATGCCACATTATTTACTATGGGAAGTTTTCTTTCCAGTATGAATTTTCTGATGTCTTCTAAGGTTCGCCAGTGTGGTAAAAGATTTGTCACATTCGTTACATGTGTACGGTTTCTCTCCTGTATGAATTCTGTAATGGATGGTAAGGTGTGACAAGTGATAGAAGGCCTTACCACATTCTTTACAACAATGAGGTTTCTCTCCTGCATGGATTTTCTCATGCGTTCTGAGAGATGAACATTTGGTAAAAGATTTGTCACATTCACAACATTTATAAGGTTTCTCCCCAGTGTGGATTCTGTAATGGACTTTAAGATGTGACAGTTGATAGAAGGCCTTACCACATTCTTTACAACCATGAGGTTTCTCTCCTGCATGGGTTTTCTGATGTGTTCTAAGAGATGAATGTTTGGCAAAGGATTTGTCACATTTCTCACATTTATAAACTTTTGCAGCATGAGTGCTCTCATGTCTCCTACAAGTTGAGCAGTGCGTAAAGGATCTGTCACATTCACTACATTTGTAAGGTTTCTCTCCTGTATGAATTCTGTCATGGCTTTTAAGACAGGACAACTGAGAAAAGCCCTTACCACATTCTTTACATCGGTAAGGCTTCTCTCCAGTATGGGTTCTGTAATGGACTTTAAGGTAAGACAACTTATAAAAGCACTTACCACACTCTAGACATTTGTAGGGTTTCTCTCCAGCATGAATTTTCTGATGTATCCTAAGGGTTGAACACTGTGTAAAGGACTTGTCACATTCCTGACATTTATAAGGTTTCTCTCCTGTGTGAGTTCTGTCATGTTTTCTAAGTTGGGACAATATATAAAAGGACTTACCACATTCCTTACATTTGTAAGGTTTTTCTCCAGTATGTATTTTCTCATGTGTTCTAAGAGTTGAGCACCGGGTAAAAGATTTGTCACATATCTGACATTTATAAAGTTTTCCAGCATGCATGTTCTGATGTTCTCTAAGAGATGAGCAATAGGTAAAAGACTTGTCACATTCCTGACATTTGTAAGGTTTCTCTCCAGTGTGGGTTCTGTCATGTTTTCTAAGTTGGGACAACATGTAAAAGGACTTACTACATTCCTTACATTTGAAAGGTTTTTCTCCAGTGTGAATTTTCTCATGTGCTCTAAGAGATGAGCACCGGGTGAAGGATTTGTCACATTCCCAACATCTGTAAAGTTTTCCCTCATGGATGTTCTGATGTTCTCTAAGAGATGAGCAGTAGGTAAAGGATTTGTCACATTCTTGACATTTATAAAGTTTTCCCTCATGGATGTTCTGATGTTCTCTAAGAGATGAACAATAGGTAAAAGATTTGTCACATTTCTTACATTTGAATGGTTTCTCTCCAGGATGGACTCTGTAATGGATTTTAAGGTCAGACAACCACTTAAAAGATTTGTCACATTCTGTGCATTTCCATTGTTCCTCTCCAACATGAGCTCTCTGATGTGTACTGAGGCTTGAGCAGGTCCTGAAGGATTTCCCACATTTCCTGAACTGGTGTGATTTTTCCTCATTATGTACAAGTTTTTGGGGAAAGCCAAAATATTTATCACATTCTTTATATTTGCAAGGTTCTTGTCCAGTGTGCATGCTTTCACGTCTACTGAAGTTGATTGATTCAATGTACTCATTCCCGTGATTTTGTATCTGTCTGTATTTGTAGCAGTTTTCTGTAGTATTGTTTGTTTTGCAGAGTGTCCATTCAGGGGATTCATGAAGCATTTTGTCAAGCTCATGACATTTAAATGACTTCTGCTGAACAGTCACATTTTCATAGATAATATGCTTTGAGCCTTCATCCAAGACCTCTTCTGAGTTATTGCACATCTGTTGGTTTTCTGGAAAATGAGCACAATTAGGGCTAATAGGGTTTGATGCATGATGAAACATATTCAATACCTGAGTTCTCTGAGATAAGTAAATACAATTCTTAGAATAGAACTCTCAGGAAGCCATTGCATGCTCAGAGAACCTCTACTCTGATCTCCATCACAGATAATAGCTTTCTTGTCCTTATCTAAATTGCATTTGAAAAAAAAATTAGACAAATAGTTGAAGAAACAAGAGTAAACTTTGGGAACAGAACTCTCTGATGAATTATATTTGAAATATGTTACTTTGCCTAAATCCTCCCTCCCCAGAAATGCTGTAGAACTATTTAACATTAAATTCAAAATATCTTCACTTAATATACTGCTATGCACATCCTTGCTCAAAATATTAATATTTCTTTTAAATTTAAAATTTTTCTTGATAGAGCTAGGTATGGTGAAGTATGACTTTAATCCCAAAATGTATCAGACAGAGGAAGGCAGATAGATCTCTGTGAATTCCATGCCAGTATGAACAGCCAGAGCTATATAGAGAGATCTTGTCTCAAAAACAAATAAAACATCTTGATAGAGATTTTTTTAAAGATGCATTAAAATCATCGAAAGTCATGGATGTAAAGAAAATATTTTTGCTAAATATCCAAGGCTGTAGATCAAAATGGGAGCAGGGGAGTCATGGGTAGTTGTTATGCTCTCTTTCTTTAAGACCCTTTGCTGTCTGACATCTACAACCAGCCCTGTGTTCCCTGTCTTTCCCTAAATAGAAATTCTCAAGGTCACTACTTTCTCTGATTCTAGGATTATTTTCTAGAAGGATCTTTGCGTGTTCTCCCATGGAGAAAGCCACTCAATGAAATATGGGGAAATGGCTATGAGAAAGGAAATTATAGAGACATCTTACTTCATGAACTCATGTCACAGTTATAATCTACAACATTAGCAAGGTGCCAGGATAGAAAAGTTCATATTTCATGCTAGCATATGGCACATAACAAAACCAACATTCCCTGACATTGTTCAGCAAGATCTCTAAAACAGGAGTTTGCACTACGTTAGAATAAGATATTAAATTTATAGGTGAGTAAGAAACAAGGATGATCATTTCTTGGATATTCAGTTTTTTTTCATTCTCTAATTAGAGTAATAAAATTAGAGGAAGTCCAAAATAGAAAGCCCAGTGTTGAAAAGCAACAAATTCTGTGTGAGATGAAGAGCAGAGAGAACTGGAACAGGGCACGTTCCAAGTCAACAGCAGAAACAGGGCTCAGAAAACTGAACACGGAACTATGAGAGATTCACCAGAAAAAAAAACAACATTTTTGCCATTGTCTCAACAACCAATACAGGACTAATTCTGACAGTATAAAATAGCAACGATGATACTTGATCAGAATACCAGTGCCACAGACACTGGAGACAAGAAAGTGTGTAGGATGTGGATGGATGTGTGTTTATATGAAATCACTTCATAACCAGACAAAATATTTTCAGGTTCTGGCTTTGACAAGCCCTGTAATATGTAAAAGTAATTATAAAGGATCATGACTGAAATTTATAATGAAATGAAAACAGTAAAAATTAATATGAAGAGTAAAGAAGTTACTAAGAGTTATGAGTAATACAGACTTCTGTGAAAAGTGTTAGTAGGTGGTTCACTTTCAGAGATTTTCTTAAAATAGAGCCAAAGTAGAAGATGCAAAAAAATCAAGCAGGGCCTAAGTCCTGCCCCAAAAGATGTGACAGACTTTGATGATTCCCCCAAGGAAGGCCACACTGTCCCTGGAGAGTGGATAGGGAGTGGGGTAGGGGAGGGAGGGGGTCAGTGGGGGCCAGGGGAGGGTGGGAGGGAGAGGGAGCTGGGATTGATATGTGAAATAAGGTTGTTTCTAATTTAAATTTTTTTAAAAAGAAAGAAATAAACCCTTTCCTCCACAAATTAAAAAAAGAAAAAAGAAAAGAAAAGAAAGGAAGAAAGAAAGGTGTAAAAATGCTTCAAAAATTGAGACAGAGTGGCTGGAGAGACGGCTCAGTGGGTAAGAGCATAGGGCATTCTCTCTTCTGGAGAACCCAGGCTGACTATGCATCACACACATGGCAGCTCCAACCCTCTGTAACTCCAGCTCCAGGGCATCCAAGGGCACCAAATACACAAGTAGTGTACAGTTATACATGTAGACACAGCCTCCATATATCAGAATCACATACATATGGGGCTGGAGAGATGGCTCAGCAGTTAATCACATTGACTGCTCTTCCAGAGGCCCTGGGTTCAATTCCAAGCACTCATATGGCAGCTCACAGCTGTCTGTAACTCCAAGATCTGACACCCCCACACAGACATACATGCAGGCAAAATACCAATGTACACAAAATAAGAATAAGCTGGTCGGTGGTGGCACATGCCTTTCATCCCAGCAATCAGGAGGCAGAGGCAGGCAGATTTCTGTGAGTTCAAGGCTAGCCTGGTCTACAAGAGCTAGTTCTAAGACAGCCTTCAAAACCACAGAGAAACCCTGTCTCTAAAAAACAAAAACCAAACCAAAAGGACAAATAAATTACTTTAAAATGTATACATAGATAACATTAAAAACTAAAATAAATTTAGAAAGAATTGAAACCAAAAAAGATTGAAATACACATTTTCTGCCATTAATCCATTTCAAGTCTGTGTATACAAAATATTGAATGAAGAAATTTTAAAATAGTATCTGTGGTGGTTTGGACGACAATGCCCTCCTCCACAGGCTCATATATTTGCAAGTTTTGTCTTCAGCTGACTGACTGAGAAAGGATTTAGGAGGCATGTCCTTGTTGGAAAAGTATCACTGGGAGTATACTTTGAGGTTTTAAAAAGCCAATACCAGGCCAGATGTGACTCTGCTTTAGGCCTTTGGATCATGATGGAGAGTGCTAAGCTACCATTCCAGCACCATTCCATCCTGCCTGCCATTATGCTCCCACTATGATGACAACGGACTAACCCTTTGAAACTACATGCAAACCTCCACTTGAATGCTTTCAAATGTAAGAGTTTCCTTGGCCACAATGTCACTTCATAGCAATAGTGACCCAAACAGCATTCATGGAGAGCACTTATACTAAAACTGGAATGAACACAGATTAGAACTGCCCCTGCACAAGGGTGAGACACAGAAAAAATCATGAAGCATTTTATATTAAGAAAATCAAATGCTGGTCAGTGGTGGTGCACGCCTTTAATCTCAGTACCCAAGAGGCAGAGGTAGGGGATCTCAGTGAGTTCAAGGCCAACTTGGTCTACAGAATTAGTCCTAGGATAGCCAAGGCTAAACAAAGAAACCCTTAAACAAAAGAAAAAAGAAAAGAAGGAGAAAAGGAATCACAAGAATATAGATAATAATAAAGAACTGAAGTATACATATGAGATGGTAGGCAAGGCAGCTAAAGAATTTTCTTATTGTTTTGTTTTTTGAAACAGGATTTCTCTGTGTAACAGCTCTGGCTGTCCTGGAACTGGCTCTGAAGACCAACCTGGCCTCACACTCAGAGATCCACCTGCCTCTGCCTCTGCCTCCCAAGTGCTGAAGTTGAAGGCGTGTGCCACCACTGCCCAGAAAAATAAAGAATATTAACAAAGAAGAAAAAAAAAAAAAGGCCTATTCCCTAGAAAGGATTTTATCAATATGGATGTATTTCATAGCATATTTTCCTAATACATGAAACAATCATTGACAGGAATGACAAAAATACGTGATAATTTTGGAACATTTCATTATCCAACATGTAACAATAGATGATGATATCAGACAGAATGTGAGGCCTGGAAAAACAGCATAAGACACTGATTATCCCCAGCAGCCCTACCTACACTCAACCACATGGTAGGATTATTCAGTCTATTTAAACTTAAAGGAACAAGCTGGAGGATGAATCCTGTCTGGGTAACAGAACAATCATTAAAAAAAGAAATGATGAATGCAACAGTATCGTGGCTCACACTTTTAATCCTAGCATTCAGGAGGCTCAGGCAGGTGGATCTCTGAGAGTTCGAGGCCACCCTGTTTGACAAATCAAGTTCCAGGACAGCTAGGGCTATTCAGAGAAATCCTGTCTCGAAAAACAAATGAACAACTATAGCAATGAAAACCATGTATTATTGACCTGAAGATAGAGAACTGAAGACAAGAATGGTTACTGAGACAGAATTCCTCTCCCTCTTAGTCAAATAAAATTACATTTGCATTCTAGTTATACTTTTCAAGATAATACCAGTGCGGTAAGAACACTGTCTTCTGACACTGACAGTAGAATGCATCTTGAGAACACTGTAGTAAGTTATCTAGAATTGCCTCTAGTGAGACCAAACATGGCAAAACCATTTTCTGGTTTTCCTTCCTCTTTAACTTGAGTCCCTCACTTCTGTCCTGTACATCCACTCACCCCTACCTTGTTTGGCCACCATCTCCTCTCTCTTCACATTCCAGAGCATTTGGATTCGCTCTATACAGGGGACCAGGTCTGCCTTGCATGCAATAATACCTGTGTATTAGAAAATGGTACACGATTTTGCTGGATTCTATCAAACATACTGAATAGTACTGAATAGTATGAGATAGTAGAAGAAGACTCTGGAAATGATCTGTCAGTCGTTATTTCATATAAGAATCTTAAAAATACTTATGGAAATCCCAAATAGATGGCTCAATGGCCAAAAGAACCCAGTTTGGGTTCCCAGCACCTGAGGAAGTTCACACCCCTCTGTAACTACAGATTCAGGGCCTTTTCTGACTTTGGCTGGCTTAGCTGGGCACCTTGAGCATGTGTGTACATGCCGGCTAACACCCATGCATAAAATAAAACATATAAAGCCTAAGAAAGACTTAGGGAGCACTTTCAGTTTGCAGATTGAGTTCTGCTTCCTGTTAAGACTGAGTCAATGCAATGATGGAAATGGAACTTCAGGATTTGGTGGGAATATTATCAGTCTTGGAGTGTATCAGACACAATAATAGAAACGGGACATGAGGATGTGGGTGGGGATATAATCAGTTTCTGAATGAATCAAATGCAGTGATGTAAATGGAACTTTAGGATGAGGGTGGAAACACCTGCTACTGGGTCTCTTTGAATGCACTGTGAATCTAAAAGGAAGGCTTCATCATGCCACCAAAAGGGAAAACATGGTGAAGACATCAAACACCGGGAAGAAACACTGATTAATATCAGCTGCCCAGAGAGTCTCCACGCCTACAAACTGGGTATATACCAAGGATCAGTTACAAATTCTGCGACAAAAATATCCTCACCCACAGAGACCAGGTTGCTGTAATTCTCCAACATCACATCAATGTACAAAGCCCTCTGAGCAGAGTCCAGGCTTTCCCACTCCTCCTGGGAGAAGTCCACAGACACATCCTGGAATGTCAACAGACCCTGAAATGAAAATAAATTTACCATGTATAGAGTACTTTCCTTGATACAAAGAATACAAGAAAAACTGAATCAATTTTCAGCTGTAAATGCAGGAGCACAGATATTCAATAAGATGCTTTCTGGAGTGATCACACTGCCTAAATGTGGGGAAACAGGATGATAGTATATTCCCAGACAACACTCTCCTGGGTGTCTGAATGTGCACTTTCAAAAAACTGGTTTAAGGAAATCTGATAGATCTCTCAAACAGCCTCTGGAGAAACATGGCCTTCCTCACTGATATATAAGATATACATACACACTCATCCTCTGTAGCTATCGAGTATTCACATATTTCTCTGATCATCAGTCATAGTGGAAAACATCTTCAGAATTGCAGGACTTAAATTCATTTACTCTTACAAATATATGGTGGGAAGGCTGTGTATACTTAATCAGGTAATATTTCTTTTAAAGATTTATTTAGCTGGGCGTTGGTGGTACACGCCTTTAATCCCAGCACTCAGGAGGCAGAGACAGGTGGATCTCTGTGAGTTTGAGGCCAGCCAGGTCTACAGAGCGAATTCCAGGACAGGCTCCAAAGCAATACAGAGAACCCCTATCTTGAAAAAAAAGATTTATTTATTATGTATACAGTGTTCTGCCTGCATATTTGCCTGCAGGCCAGAGAGGCACAAGATTTCATTACAGATGGTTGTAAGCCACCACGTGGTTCTTGTGAATTGAACTCAGAACCTCTAGGAAGAGCAGCCAGTACTCTAAACCTCTGGGTCATCTCTCCCCAGCCCCTTAATCAGTTAATCTTATCTATCAGAGGAACAGGAAAAACAAACATTTTAAATAGCATAAACACTGGATTAAAGGCCTGCAGCATTGACACTGACCTGGGATGTGTTTACTGGAGAACCAGCCATCTTTCCTCTTCTTGCACTATGTAGAATAGTGTCAAAAAGATAAACCTAAAATGTGTATTAAAAGCTGTTAGGAACAAAGCCATGTAAACAGTTCCAAACACTAGAATAATACCAAATGTCTTGTTATTATCCCTACAGCCAGGAGACTATTATTGCATTCAAGCAACATGTCTCTAACAGTTGGCAGAGAGGTTAAGTGCGTTTGAAGATAGTCGTGAATTAACAGGCCACTTCACCCAAACACACTGAAGATAATAAGTAGAGCAGACTATGCACACAAGAATGAGAAAAGAAAATGGATGTGTGTATGTGTGTGGGGGGGAGGCAGCTCAACAATTAAGAGCACTGATTGATCTCCCAAAGGATCCAGGTTCAAATCACATGGCAGACTACAACCATCTGTAACTCCAGGAGCTATGATGCCCTCCGGCCTCTGCAGGCACTGGGCTTGCATGTGGTATAATGATATACACACGAGCAAACACCCATACACATAAACTAAGATAAAAAACAAAAAACAAACAAAAACAAGACACAGAGAGGAATTTTCTGAGAGGACTCAGGAATAGATGTATATGGGAGAGTTCAGAATTAATAAATCAGGCACTGAGATCGAGGCCAGCCTGGTCTACAGAGTGAGTTTCAGGACAGGCTCCAAGCCTACACAGAGAAACCCTGTGTAAAAAAAAAAAAAAACTAATTAATTCATTAATTAAAACAAAACAAAACCGGCACAACCAGCAAAGCACAGTGACAGAGAAGGAAAAAAATAGTACCAATAATGCAATAATGCAACCACCAAAACAACACCAATAAAATTATAGGGAAGAAAAATCCAGAGGAAAAAATCCTAGCAACAAAGTAGAAAGAGAAATGTCACCTGATAAAGTTCAGTTCAACAAAAACTCATAATGGGATTCCTAAAGGAGCTATGAAGAAATGGAACATGGCTCAGTACAGCAAAGGACATGTGTATCACACCTAGGCCAACTACACAGTTCAGAGAGAAAAATGAACATCATTACCAGGAACACTGTGATAAGATGAAAATGCACACGTCTTCAGTTTCATTTAATGCCGATCTAGCAAATCTGAAAACTACGCTTTTCACAGAGATAAAACTCCCTACTGATAGCTAGGTGTGGTGGCATGTGACTTTAATCCCAGCATTTGGGAGGCAGAGGCAGGTAGATCTCTGTGAGTTCAAGGCCAGCCTGATCTACAAAAGGAATTCCAGGACAGCAAGGCTGTCACATAGAGAAACCTTGTCTAGAAAACAACAAAGCAAAACAAACAAAATACCTCTCAAAACATAAAAATTCCCCTGATAACAACATAAGAAACCTTAGATTTGATAAATGCTTGAAATAATAATGAGTAATGCAAAATGAACATATACAATCACTATTGTTTTTATCAGTAGCAAGGGTGTTGAAAAACCAATTAAGAAACTAACACATAAACTTACCTTAAAATACACCCAGTTGACAGGTATGGTGGCACAAGCCTGATCCCTGAGCTCAGGAGACAGAATCAGATAGAGCTATCTACACGACTTCAAGGCCAGATGATTTACGAAGTGAGTTCCAGAACAGCCAGAGCTACATACATATGAGACCCTCTCTCTCTTTTTCCCTGGATAGGGTTTCTCTGTAGCTTTGGAGATTGTCTTGGAACTTGCTAAGTAGACCAGGCTGGCCTTGAACTCACAGAGATCCACCTGTGTCTGCCTCTCCTGGGATTAAAGGTGTGCACCACCATCACCTGGCTCTGACTTTGACGTCTATTATGAAAAATTTAAGGCACTCAAAAAAAAAAGCAAAAAATATAATAAAGAAATGAATTTCCATGCACATTGACAGAGAAAAATGACACAGGACACAGTATAAATGGCTGTACTACCAACAACAGAGATTAATCTATTAAAGCTGTGACCTTAGCTCATCTACAGAGCCACATGACCAAACCGTACGATGGTAGTGGCAGAAGATAAATCGCAACCCAGGGCAAGGGAATAGCAGATCCAGAACCAGCTGAAGCAGCTGAGACCATCTGTAATTTTACCAAAATGTCAAAATCTTAAGCTGCAGGATAAGCAGTCTAACCACACAACATATATGAACCTGGGTCTGATTCTCTCCCCCAGCAATGAATCACAGACTTTCATGTGTGAGCTGGAAAAGTGAACCTGCAGAGTAGCGCAAAGGAGAAAAACATGTGGACATAGGGAACTGAATGGAACTACAGATCACTCGGCATAGACAGTACCACACTCATGGTCTTAAACAATAACAAATAAGGAGGGCAATGCAGGAGGAAGAACACAGAGATCAGAGATACACTGTTGGTAGGAATTCCAGTTCACTTCAGCCATCATCCAAGTAAATGTGCAGCTTTCTCAACAACAAAACAAGCAAAAAAAAAAAAAAAAGGGAGGGGGGGATTCAATTTCTCCAGGTCATTCTGTTCCAAGTAAGGCTTGCCAATTGGCTGTAAAAGCAATGTTTTAAGTAAATTAAATAAATCCGTAATGTAATTCAGTATCTAACAAATATTTTTCTTTTTCTATCCTTACTCTACTTCAATTCTCCAATTCCAGTCTCTGTACAAAACCCTCTGAGCAAGGTCTAGGCATTCCTCCTCTTCCTGGGAAAAGTCCACAGCAATATCATTGAATGTCAACAAACTCAGAAATAAGAAAGCAACACTTTGAGTGGGATAGTGATGGTGCACAGCTTTAATCCCAGCACTCAGGAGGCAGAGACAGATGGATCTCTGAGTTTGAGGCCAGCCTGGACTAGAATTTCTGGACTCCCAGGACTGTTACACAAGAAACTCTGTTTCAACCACCCTCCCAAAACAGCAAGAGTTTGGCCATGTGTCCTTCTGAGTGCTATTCTTGAACTAAGGAGACAAAAGAAAATAAGAAACCTTGAACGCATGGAGATACATCTGCCTCTGTCTCCTGAATCCTGGGATTAAAGGTGTGTGCCACCACTGCCCAGCTTCTACGGCTGTGGCTAGTTTTCGAATTCTGATCTCCAGGCAAGCTTTATTAGGTTGAAAGATTTTAGTTTGCAGAGCAAGGATGTAGGAAAGGGGCAGGAGAATAATTCTTGCAAGCAGAATATAGAAAATCATAAAGAATGGATATTGACATGGGAGAAAAGAACAGAAATTATGAGAACAAGAAAGGTTACTATAGTGATGGAGCTAGTGGTTGTATGCTAGGCTGATCTTGTTAAATAGGGCTAGTTACTGAATCATCAAACTTTTGTGGAATAACTGAAGGCTCTAAATGTACAGCCAAGAGAAAGCCAGAGTATGAAAAAAGTTTCTCTCAGGTCTTGGCCCACAACAAGGAATAGGCCCCCAACCCTGGAACAAATGATTCGGAGATGAACAGCCTTGTCTGGGTCACTCCTGGCCAACTGACAGTCTGGGGACTTTCCAAGTCATTCTATGGTTTATCCTTTGAATAAGAACAGGTCATACCTGGGTGACCTCTCAAACATGAGATCATACTTTGTAATCAATCACCTTGTGCCCCATGCATGTATGCTGATTTGTGGTCTTCTCTATAAAAAGAACCTGGACCCTTTGAGGGCTGTGCAGCTTTCCCCGAGATTGCTGTCACCCGAGTGCACTCGTTCAATAAACACCTCTTGCTTGTTGCATCTCCTGGTTTTGGTGTTTGTGTTGCCGGACTCTCCGACCGGCCCATCAGGACCCCGGAATTAGGGTCCAACAAAGTCATAAATAAAATATCACCACATAGGTGATCTGTCACAATTATTCAAGTCTTTACTGAGGTGCTTGCTGTTCTAACAGTGCTTTATAACGATGGACATACTGTGGCACTGATAGCCTTGCTCTCAGCATCCATAAGGTGTCTCTGAGTTACAAGGTGCAACATTAAGACCTTCACACAAGAACACAAAATATAATGTGTATATCTCGGATGGAAAATCAGTGATAAAATTCTGCATAGTAAATACACACAACCATGGCTAAAATATATTTGTGAATCAAACAAACCTACAGTCGATCCTTAAGTGATTAATATCTAACAAGCACTTTAGGTTGACAATTCACAAGTTCTAAATGCCACTCTCTGGAATAGGGGAGTGGCAGAACATGACAGTTGAGAAGCATTGATGTAAAGTTTAAGAGCTGTGTTGTTTCAGAAGTAACAAAGAGAACGCTGTTAGAAATACCAATATATAAATTAAATTCTGATTATTTTGAAGAGACTATTTTGAAAATCATAAAAGAAAAAAATCAGGATCAGTCTAGTTTATACGATCTGAAATTTATCAGCAGTAAATTTTAGTGAGAGCAGGGTTCTTATGTACAGCAGAGAAACTGCTCACATCCCCGGTCCCCTCCCTCTTGGGTCCCATCCCCGCAGCTCCTCTCACCTGGGAGGTTCCAGGGCCGCCGGGCTGCGGTTCCCGCCACTGTGCTGCTGACTGCGCAGCGACTGCAGCTCCGGAGTTTGCAGGTCCCCGCGGCACCCGCCGTGTCCTCTGCACTCACGTCTGCTTAATGTGCTTCCCGAAATTCCTTAAGGAATGGCGAATTCACTGTGCCTGTCGCCGTAGGGGCTCTTAGCCTACTGTGGTCCCGCCCACTATGCAATTTGCTCACTTTCACCCATCCCCGCCCACTTACTTCCTCTTTCCGCCCAGTTTCCCAAGCCAGCCCAGCTGTGCAGGTGACCAAGGTCCTCTGGGCAGCGCCCTTGACATTGGTGACATTCCGGCTAGGCTGTGGAACCCGGTTCCTCCCCTCTGCACTAGCAATGGCTTGTGGGAAATCCTGCCGCTTAGGGAAAATTGCTTCTCTGCAGGCAGGTTAGCTGACTCTGTTCGGCAAGCTTAAGACAATCAAAATATGTCACTCTTGCCAGGTGTGGTGGCACAGGCCTTTCATTCCAGCACTAGGGAGGCAGACGCAGGTGGATACTTAAGATCGAGGCCAGCCTGGGCTACACAGGGGGAGTTCCAGGACAGCCATGACTACACAGAGAAACTGTGTGTCGAGGAAGGGGTACCACTCTATCTATCTATCTATCTATCTATCTATCTATCTATCTATCTATCTATCTATCTATCTATCTATCCACCCATCTATCTATCTATCATCTATCTAGGACAAGGATATGAAAAGCTGTTTAACTGTCCTTGGGCTCAGCTTTGGACTAAGATCAAATAAGTATGTTGCAGCATTTTGTTGTTTCATCCTAGAACCTGGTTGTGGCCCTCAAAGACCTATAAAGTACCTTCTAACTCTGGGGTACTCAGCCCCTCCCTGCTAATACAGGATGGGTCTGGCTTACATAAGCCTGCCATAGGCCAAGAAGCACCTGAGAAATATCTGGGAGGAATTTGGCCGAGATTTCTGATAAAGGAATAAAATCAACCCAACTTTCTGAAACCTTCCTTCCTGCTTGTCAGTGGAAACGGATGGTTGACAGTGTGAATTTACCACCTAAAAATATATAAGGAAGAGTTTTAAATAAGGAGAATATTCATAAGGGAGACTTCTAACATTCCGTGGAACGGTGGTCTTCATTTGGGGTGGGCTGAGCCTTGATGGGCACTAAAAAAGCCTTTAATATACAACATAAAAGGACTTAAATATTATATCATTGACAACCAGAAATCAGACTAGTAATGTAGACATGGTTCCAGGAACTCAAGGTCCAAACCATAAAACAGAAAGATCTCAAAAAATAAAACCCTCCTCCCAACACCCCCAAAAAGATTCTAGGAAGAAACAAAAATGATAAACTTGCCTGGTGGTACTTGTTTTTAATCTCACTCTGATGAAAGAGGCAGGTGGGTATCTGTGAGTTCCAGGCCCCCTGGTCTACAGATAGAGTTACAGGCCAGCCAAGGCTACATAGTGAGGCTGTCTCAACACAAAACAAAATTAAAGGGATATTTCAAACAAAAATGCCCCACCTTAAAGTGAAAAGAAAAATTAACTGTCAGTCATGATCGGTGATGAGGATTAAAAGGCACTTAAGTGTCATCTAAAACAGAAAATACGGGGTTTTTGTAAAAATGTCTAGAAAGTATTTAATCGGGTCATTAAGATGTAATAACATGTTTTTAGTGGTGTAAATGTATACTTACCTACATACAATTGTGTCTTTGTGTATGAGTGATAAACCAGATTATGGATATTTTTCCTCTGGGAATAGTACTGGCATATTGTACATAACAAATAGGATGTAAGAGGATCTGAAGATTCCCCCAGGAAGAACAGTAGTTGTTTTTAATTAATGAACCATCTCTCCGCACTCACAATGGAGGGAGTCTGCATTATCTCCCAGCTGCCATCATGCTTTCTTCTTTTCAGCTGAGACTTCTCAAGCTTTGACTGCAGAAGGGATAAACACTCCACAATTCTTTCAGTTAGCTACACTGACTTTCATAAAGAACATGTCATTACTGATTCATCTCAGAAGCTATAAGTAATCACAAAATTAAAGTATCAGCACACACCCACACGCTATTGTAAAGGGCTAAGAATAAGTCTAACTATTATGGCAAATCCATTAATAATATCACAAATGTCACATTACTAATGTTAATAGGTCAGGCCAGGGTGTGATTAGATAATCCACGTTTCAGAATGGATAATGACCCAGAAACACTTCTCTGTCTGGCCATATTCTTCTATACCTTTGCCATTTCCACCCACAGAGCTAGGACCACAGATCCAGGAGCGGATCACTCTTACCTACTTCACCATGATCTTGCCACACTAAATAAAGCATTAAGTTAGAAGTGTTTAGCCCATGGGTCTCTGTTTTTAAGAAAGTAAAGCACGGCACGGCACGGCTGGTCTGTTTCCTCATCTCCCACATGGCACTGTTATTGCACACACGAGTCAACAGCACCCGTGACTGCATGGCAAGTTTGATGCAGCCCAAATCCCAGCATGGCTAGTGAGAGTGACTCCTCACACCACTAGCTGGAGTCAAACCCTAAAAGAGCAAGAGCATAAAAAATGTTAAAGACGTGACCTGTGGATGTGATACTTGTTCATGTGCAGCTGAGAAATCCCAAAGAGTGAGCGTGGAAATCATTTCCCGGAACTCAAGAGAGTTGGAGAAATGTTTCATCCAACTGCAAAACACAGTGATTCATAAAGAAACACTATTGTGTCATAAAGACACAACAGACATTAGACAAACAAGTGTGTTGCAAAGAAAAAAAAAAAAAAAACAAATGAGCAAGTGAATTTGAGTGGAGGAGGAATTAGTTTTCTTCAGAGGTAGGGCCCCTGAAAGGCTGTTATGGTCTAGAAAATTGGGTTTTTACACCCATGTGCATGCAGTTGATACTAGGTGGATTCAGGCACTAAAACAAAAGAAAACAAAACAAGAGCACATGAAGAAAGTTGGGGAGAAACTGGAAGTAAGGCTTGCAGGAGTCATCAAATGCATGATACAGACATAAGAAATTCTAAAAAATAAACAACTCCCATGTGTGCAAGCATTTACTTAAATATAAAGGAAAAGCCTACTCTTGGTGTTCAGGTGAGGTTGACCAGGGTTAGGTACAAAGAGAAGTACTGCCCGAAGGTTTGTAAGGAAAAACTTCCATAACCGCGAATTAGGATTCTAGTTTCACTGCCAAATAATTTGTTAGATTCATCATAACGCCCAAACATGAAATATAAACAAGACTATAAAAAATCATATAAGGCTTACATGCTATGGGAAGATTTTTGAGAGAGTCCTCTCCAGCTTTGCAAATTACCCTGGATTCCTCATTCCTTAAACTAAGGTGTGAGAGATTTCACATTTACTCATTGAATTTCTATGTAAAGCCATTAAGCACACATTTTATTTATTTAAAAATATCACCTTACACAAGAGTTGTAGAACATTTCAAAAATACACATGGTTTTACAAAAAAAAAAAATAATAAAATGCAGATTACAATAGGAGGGGCGTTACTTTACTAAGATCACTCACAGTTATTATTCACTATTTTCAAAGAAGGCAAATGTGTGGCACTGTTCAACGCAACTATATATTCTCTAAGATTAGATTTTATTTTCCTGATATCTCTATTTTTCCACATACATTTCATTGAGGACATCCAGCTAGAAATCACTAATCCCATGGGTTTGCCATTTTTTTTTTTTTTTTTTTTTTCAGGGACCTGTAAAATACTTTTGACCTTTTCTCTTCCTATTGCTCACTGCTGGCTGAATGTTAAGCTAGCCCTTTCTATTGCCCAAAATACTTATCTCACATGTAAGTGTATTCTTCTTTCTCCTACAAAATAGAGCTCATCTCCATCTGTGTTACAGTAATGAAATTTGCTCAGGCTACTAGCTCTTCACGGAACAAAAACACAGCAGATTTCTAGGCGCAGTGGACAGCAAACGCCAGTAGCTGCATCTGTACCCTGCTCTGACCTCTGAATCCTGCACATACAAAGAAATCTGAGCTCCACGAGAGCTGGGCACTTCAACCACCATGTGTTGGGGAAGAATAACTCTGGAAACCAAAGGGATTCCAAGACAGGATTCTGCTCAGGTGGCGAAGGCTGTTTTAAATAGTGACCATAACAGGGGAAAGTGTTTTATTTTAAAAAAAAAAAAAACAAAGTAGTCTTCACAGGCACACAATTACAGAATTCTCCCTGGCACCAGAACACTGTCATGAACAAGTATAGCTGCCAAAATGTCATCAAGCAGAGGGGCCTTCGTCTGTGCAGCATCTGCATGAAGAACTTTGACCCAAGGACTTTCTGAACCTGCCCTCAGGAGTCTGTCCATTTTATTTGAGTTCACAGATTGTTAGTGACCAGGCCCTAACTATCTAACTTCCCTGACACCTGATCTCAGGTTCATCAGACCTGATGCAGCAACAACTGATACACGCATTATCATAAACTCACTGATACACGCATTATCATAAACTCACTTGTAAGCAACACAGCATGGATGTATCTGAGTTTAAACCACTGTGTTTACGTTTCTGCAAATTCCAGTACTAGTATTATCAAAAATGTCAGTAAGAATAATATTACATTTATTCATATAGAAATATTCTCTTCCACTTAAATACAGGACACATTCATTCATTTGGTTTTCTTCTTTGTAGCACACTTGTCTAATGTCTATCGTGTCTTAGTGTTTCTTCATGAATCACTGTGCTTTCCAGTGGAATACATTTCTTGAGTACTAAAAAATTATTTTCCTGCACATTCTTTGGGATTTCCTCGCTGTGCATGTACATGTGTCACATCCACAGGTTACATCTTTAATGCTCTTGCTATTTGTAGGGCTTGACTCCAGAGTGACTATTTTGAAAGTGAATAAAAGATGAGTCCTTATTAAAGTTTTTCCGGGTTTTCCCTTCAGAATGAATTTTCAGATGTGTCTACAATTTTAACACTGGGTAAAAACTTTGACAAATTCAATACAGTTCTGGGGCTCTCTAGTATGGAATTACAGGACATGTAATTCCTAATGTACAAGACATGAGAATTTCATAACAGTGAACATTCAAGTAGTTTCTTTCTGGTATGAATTTTTTCATTACAATTTGTCCTCACGAATTTTTTTTTTGAGGTTGAACAAGTAAAATGTTTTTATGAATTATTTTTATATTTGTTACATCTGAAGAATTTTTCTTCAGTATAAACTCTCAGTATTTTTATGATTTAATCATTCATTAGGAGCTCTCGAAAGTTTCTTATGCTCGTGTTTTTCTCCAGTATGGATCCTGGTGTGCTTTGTAAGAAGAGAGCGCTGGGTAAAGGATTTGTCACATTCTCCACATTTGTAAGGTTTCTCTCCAGTGTGGATTCTTGAATGGGTTTTAAGGTTTGACAACCAGTAAAAGGACTTGCCACACTTTTCACATTGGTAGGGTTTCACCCCGGCATGAATTTTCTGATGAGCTTTAAGACTAGAGCAGTGGGTAAAGGATTTGTCACATTCTTCACATTTGTAAGGTTTCTCTCCAGTGTGAATTCTCGAATGTCTTTTAAGGTTTGACAACCAATGAAAGAACTTACCACATTCGTTACACTTGTACGGTTTCTCTCCAGTGTGGACTCTGTAATGTTCCTTAAGTCTTGACAACAAATAAAAGCATTTACCACAGTCTTTGCATGAATACGGTTTCTCCCCTGTATGAATTTTCAGATGTGTACTAAGAGCTGTGCAGTGGGTAAAGGATTTGTCGCATATCTGACACTTGTAAGGTTTCTCTCCAGTATGAATTCTGTGATGGTTTTTAAGTTTTGCCAGCTGAGAAAAGCACTTACCACACTCCTCACATTTGTAAGGTCTCTCTCCAGTGTGGGTTTTACAATGGCTTTTAAGGTGTGACAGCACGTAAAAACTTTTGCTGCACTCTTCACATTTGTAAGGTTTTTCTTCATTGTGAATTCTCAGGTGTCTTTTAAGAGCTGTGCATCGGGTAAAGCATTTGTTGCATTTTGCACATTTGGAAGGTTTCTCTCTGGTATGGGTTCTACAATGGATTTTAAGTCTTGACAAATGAGAAAATGATTTGTCACATTCCCCACATTTGTAAGGTGTCTCCCCAGTATGGATTCTGTGGTGGTTTTTAAGGCCCGACAACCAATGGAAGAACTTGCCACATTCTTTGCACTTGTAAGGCTTCTCTCTAGTGTGGACTCTGAGATGATCCTTAAGTGTTGACAACAGATAAAAGGCTTTACCACAGTCTTTGCATTTGTGGGATTTCTCCCCAGTATGGATTTTCTGATGCGTACTAAGACCTGTGCAGTGGGCAAAGGCTTTGCCACATTCCTTACATTTGTAAGGTTTCTCTCCAGTATGGATTCTGCAATGGTTTTTAAGTCTAGATCCTCGAGAAAAGCATTTATCACAGTCCTCACATTTGTAAGGTTTCTCTCCAGTATGGATTCTGTAATGGTTTCTAAGTCTAGATAACCGAGTAAAGCCCTTATCACACTGATTACACTTGTAAGGTTTCTCCCCAGTATGCATTCTGCAGTGGGTTTTAAGGTGAGATAACCACTTAAAGCACTTACCACATTCTTTACATTTCCATGGTTTCTCTCCAGTTTGAAGTTTCTCCTGTGTACAGAGACTTGAGCAGCTCCCTAAGCATTTCCCACAATTGTGTGGTTTCTCTCCACTATTAATTCTTCGCTGCTCAGGTCCATGTGCAGAACTCAAAACTTTATCACTTTCTGCATACCCATGCTCTACGTTTATGGTGTGGGTACTCTCATTTAGACTAATATCAGAACATACGCACTGGCCACAGTCTTTATATTTGGAAGGGTCTTTTCCAGTGCGCACATTTTTATGTCTGTTTAGGTCCGACAATTCAGTAGAGGCATTCCCTTGGTTACCACATGTACAGTTGCCTTTTTTTGCAGTATCACTTGTGTGACGAGGTATACACTGGGAGGGTTCATGACCTGTTTTGCCAAGCTGATTAGATTTGGAAGAATTCTCTTGGGTATTCCCACGCTGACGGACATTATGGTTTGAGCCTTGATTCAAGACCTTCTTGGGTTTACCGCGCATGCCATGGTTCTCTAGGGAAGGAGCACAATTAGGGATAATGGGGATCGACTCATAAGTAATATACTCAATAGCTGATGTCACCTTAAGTTCTCAAAGACAAGTAATAATTATTTAGAGCGGGGTTCTCTCTCCATGGAGCTCTTTTTACTTTCACTATCACCATATAAATGTTCAGAATCCTGACCACGCTGTGGGGGCTGACAACAGAATCCTCATTTTTATCTAAACTGCATTCCTTGCAGAAGGTGGGACAAACAGATGATGGAAAAATAAAGGGCTCTGAAAGATTACGTTTAAAATATTGTTCTCTTTTTAAATTGCCTCTTCACCCCAGAAATGGTTGAATAGATTTTGTTGTTGTCACTTTGCTTTGTTTTATTTTGGGGCAGGGTTTCTCTGTGAAACAGTCCCAGCTGTCCTGGAACTACTCACTCTGTAGACCAGGCTGGCCTCGAACTCAGAGATCCACCTGCTTCTGCCTTCTGAGTGCTAGGATTACAGGCATGCACCACTACAGCCTGGCCAAAGAACAGTTTACTGCAACACTAAAATGAAACAATTCAACTCACTAAGTGTATTGCAATGTATATCTCTGCTCCACACATTCTACTTTATTTTAACTTTAAATATTTCATTAAAGACTTGGTGAGTGAGCTGGAGAGATGGGTCAGTAGTTAAGATCATTTGTTGTTTGACTTAGGGAAATGAAAAGGAAAGTGCATGAAATGAAAAGGAAAGTCTATGAGAAAGTTTTGGGGTCTATTTTTGGTTTTGTTTTATTTTGTTTGTTTGTTTGGTTTGGTTGTTTTTTTTTTTTTTTTTTTTTTTTTGCTAGAATTTGCTCTAATTTCATGTAATTTCTAAATTTCTAGTCAACTTGAGAGAATATTTGTACCTATAAACCAGGTAAATACAAAAGATGGAATTCTGCAATCAAAATGTTCTCACCCACAGAGACCAGGTTGGTGTAATTCTCCAACATCACATCAATGTACAAAGCCCTCTGAGAAGAGTCCAGGCATTCCCACTCCTCCTGGGAGAAGTCCAAAGCCACATCCCCAAATGTTAGCAGACCCTGTAATAGAAATGTAAAGAGTTTTACCATGTGTTGCTGGGCAGAATCCTAGATAAAGAGGTATATGGACCTAGGAACATTTTGGTGATATAGTTAAGGCAGGAAAATATTTTTTCCTCTTTTTATATATATTTATTGTTTTTCCTTATTTTACATATTGATCCCAGTTCCCTCTCCTTCCCTCCCATGCCCCCGACCCCTCCCATCCCCCCCCACACACTCCACAGGGATGCCTCCTGGAAGGAAAATAATTTTTATAAGATTTATTATGTATACAGTGTTCTGTCTCCATGCTAGAAGAGGCCACAAGATCTCATTATAGATGGTTGTGGACCACAATGTGGTTGTCAGGAATTGAAATTAGGACCTCTGAAAGAGCAGCAGCCAGTGTTCTTAACCTCTGAGCCATCTCTCCAGCCCTCAGAAAAGTATTCTTTAAGATGTTTTTAGATAGGATGTAGACATAGCTTAGCAGTCAAAAATGCAACTTGTTTTTTCTAGATGTCCTGGGTTTGATTCCCAGGACCCAGACAACATCTCATAAGCACCTGTAGCTCCAGTTCCACATAATCCACGCCCTCTTCTGACCTCCGAGGGCAATAGGCATGCAAGTAGCTCATAAACATACGTGTAGACTGAAACACTGATACATATAAAACAAAATTAAATTAAATGGTATATTCTAACTCTGTGTGCTGTATAGCAGTTCCCTGAGAGTTTGAAACATTCTGCCCTATAGAAAAATCTCATCAGAACAAGAAGTAAACAACTCATAATTATCACTGAAACTGACCAAATTCCTTAGATCCCTCCCTCCAAGCCATTCTCTGACTTTGTAGGCTAAGCTGCAAAAGATGATCACAGACACATTCCCCACTCCCCCACCCCCCCACACACACATATACAAAATACAGAGACCAGCCCAGCAGCCCAAACTGAGCTGTCTAGAAGAGTCTCTGACCAAATGAACCACCAGGAAAGGACACCCAACAACCTGTCACACTGCTGGCAAGCAAAGCAGTGTGCTCCAGGTTTCCAAGATTTGTGAGATGGCAGCATCGCTGGGGGATGGGCTTCGGTGATACAGCTGAGTTATTTCTACTCCTGTAAATAACCCCAATAACCCACTGGTTCACCAAGCTGGTGGTATCCATGTGTCCACGTATCATGGGCTCCATTTCCAGTGAATAGCCGTGTGTGTGTGTATGTGTGTGTGTGTGTGTGTGTGTATATCTCCCTAGTCTGTCTGTCATACAACACACACACAAAAAAAGGATGACATAATAGTCTCACAAATAATATACTTTTAGGGAATATAAGATAAATATTTAGGGCTGGAGGAATAGCTCAGCTGTTAAAGGCTAGGCTCACAACCAAATATAAGAGTTTGGTTCTGGTGCTGGAGAGATGGCTCAGTGTTTAAGAGGGCTGTTGGCTCTTCCCAAGGTCCTGAGTTAAATTTCCAGCCACCACATGGTGGCTCACAACCATCTGTAATGAGATCTGGTGCCCTCTTCTGGCTTGCAGGTGTACAAATGAAGGCAGAACACTGTATATATGTAAATAAATTTTTACAAAAAAGATAAAAATTCAGCCAGGTAGTGGTTGGTGAATGCCTTTAACCCCTCTTTAATCCCAGCACTTGGGGAGTCTGAAGCAGGTAGATCTCAGTGAGTTTGAGGCCAGCCTGGTCTACAGAGATAGTTCAGGATAGCTAGTGCTGTTTCACAGAGAAACCCTGTAACAAAAACAATAATAATAATAATAAAATAAAAATTAAGATTTAGAAATCTACTGTTTATGAAGCAGGGGCTCATGTCACACCAGATCACGTTGTCACATCTCAGATGGAAAAGTTGTGATTAAAAAAGTAAATGTCAAGAAAAGGAAAAGTTGTGATGAACAAAATTGTGTCTCTAAATGCTACAACTCTTGATCCCGTTATAATACTGATACTAACTACATCTTGAGTGCAGCTGGGCCCCACCTGAGTCTATTCTAACACCATCAGTTGAGATGCTAGGGCTCAGTTCAGCGCTGCTCCCTTTGCATAGCAAAGAGGAAGAATGAAGAAGGCAGAAACCATCGCTGAGTTTGAAATTAAGAGTTTTGAATTTTTTTATTTATTTATTCTTTTGGTTTTGGTTTTTTTGAGACACAGTTTCTCTGTGTAGCTTTGGAGTCTCTCCTGGAACTGGCTCTGTAGACCAGGCTGGCCTTGGACTCACAGAGATCCACCGGCCTCTGTCTTCTGAGTGCTGGGACTAAAGGCATGTGCCACCAACACCCAACTTGCAAACTGACGTTTGTTTCAAGTTATTTGGAGCCTCCTTCTAGCCTCTATGGGCACCAGGCACACACATATGCAGGCAAACCCTCATGTGCACAAAATAAAATAAAATAAATAAAACTGAAAACATTAAAACTTAATTAAAACATTTTATAAAAGAAAAAAATCTAAATTCCGGCTGGATAATAGTGGTGGCACACACTTTTAATCCCAGCACTCAGGACTCAGAGGTAGATGGATCTCTGAGTTTCAAGGCCAGCCTGGTCTACAAAGTGAATTCCAGGACAGCCAGGGCTGTGTACAGTGAAAACCTGTCCCAAATCCCCCTTCCCCTCAAAAAGGAAGTAATCTCCAACTACAGAAAACAGTAGCTTCAGCAAGAGAAAGAGGAGGTGCTGGGATAGCTTTCCTCCTCCAAAGGAAAAGACCAAAGCAAAGTAACTAAGAGCAATCTTCATTTCTGCATGAAGTGTGATGGTTTATGAACATTACTCAATACTCTCAGGAAAATTCTTACAGATATATTCCACATGATGTCACATAAAGAGTCACAATCAGGAGGGGCTACACAATGGGTCACTGTCTAAAAAAAAAAGCACACAAAAGACGAAGAGACAACATTCATTTCTCTAGTTTGGGAAGTTACCCCTGAGCAACGGAATTGAGAAAATGATATGAGCTGGAACGAACTCTCCTGAGACAAATAGATGTCAGCTGTCAACAATCACAGGCACATCATCACTGTGATATCAAATGCCAAACAGAGAAACAACAGACAGCAATGTGCATCTCCTGACAGAAATACCAAATTCATGGCACAATCAAGGCACACATGCCTGCCATCTTCAGTACTCTCTAGAGCATTTAAATATTTAGCATTAGGATCCAATATGGATCCAAATAGCATGTCTTCAAACTCTTTTCCGAAAAATTATTAGAGATTCCAGCAAGGAACTTAAGGTGTTTGAAAGTGCATTTTTTATAAGTGTAGTTCACAGAAACCTGATACATCCCTCAAATGGGGTTTCTATTGCTGTCAAGAGACACCATGAGCAAGGCAACTCTTACAAAAGAAAACATTTCATTGGAGCTGGCTTACAGCCACCCATTCATTCCTATTCAAAACACCACACAAGATTTTAATATACAACAATTCTCCAAGAAAAAAAAAAAAAAAAAAAAAAGCGAACATGACACTGACCTGGGGTGTATTTGCTGGAGGAGTGGCCATTTCTTCTTGTTGCCCTGCTCCGAGTTTCTGTTTCAGGAACAATGATTAGATACCCTTTTGATATCAGGTATCAAAAATGCAAAACAAAAATTAGTATTAAACTCTGTTAAGAAATAATATCAAACCACATAAAAAGACCCAAATACAAGAATAATACCAGATATCTCGTCAACAATTCTAAATTGAGGAGAGAATGGAAAAAAATATATTTAAATACCGAAAAGAAAATAACTGTCAGCCATGTTATTGCAGCCAGAAAAATTATCGCTTAAAATTGACAGAGAAATGCATTAGAAGATAGTCATGAGTTAACGTATACCATTCTACTCAAGCACCACTGCAGGTAATAATTAGAGGGAAAATACAAACATCTGTCAAAAAATTATGCATGAGCACACCGGAAATAAGACATTTCACTTGAGGAATAGATGAATAAGAGAGTTGGGGAGTAGCCAACTGCGACCATCCAACACATCAAATCAGGTAACTACCAATTCTAACAAGGAAGGGGCAAAACTATTACCTACAATCCAACTAGCCATATCAACATATTGCAGTCTATGGGGCCTCTGGCAATGGAACCAGTATTTGTCCCTAGTGAATGAATGGATTTTGGGAGCCCATTCCTCATGGAGGGTTACTCTCTCAGCCACAGGGGAGGGTCTAGGCCCTGCCCTAAATAATGTGACAGACTTTGATGATCCCCCATGGTAGTCCTCACCCTCCCTGGAGAGTGGATGGGAGACAGGATCGGGGAGTTGCTGGGGGGAATGGGAGGATGGGAGGGAGAGAAAACTGGGATTGATAAGTAAAGTTTGATTGTTTCTAATTTAAATAAAAAATGACATTAAAAATATATTTATTACAGGGAATAAAAACCATATAGTAAAAAAAAATCTCAGTAGAATTTGGAAACATCATCTGACAAAGTTTAAAAAAACCTCATGGTAAAACTTCTAAATGAACTAGAGATGGGTGGTAAAGGCACATGCCTTTAATCCCAACACTCAAGAGGTAGAGGCAGGCAGGTCTCTGTGAGTTTGAGGCCACCCAATTCTATGGAGTGGGTTTCAGAACAGCCAGGGCTACAGAGAAACCCTGCCTCAGAAAAAAACCAAACCAAACAAACTAACCAACCAAGCAAGATCTAGTAATAAACCCAAATAACAACTTAATTAACATCTATGAAGAAAATGAACTATGCACATTCATTGTGAAAAATGGCATGGGGTAAATGGTTCTATTACTGACAACTACAGTCTGCAAGGTCAATGCAATCCCCATGTGCAACTACTGACATTCTACAAAAGTAGAAAACACTTTTTCAAAGTTATTTGGAAACAAGATATCACAAATGTCCAGATCAATCCTCAGAATAATCCTAGGGATATCACAAGACCTGACTTCAAATTATAAAACAGATCCAAGTGACTCAGACGGGAAGGTTCTACACACACACAAACATGTTAAAAATTGAACAGGCCAGGCAGTGGCGGTGCATGTCTTTAATCCCAGCACTTGGGAGGCAGAGGCAGGTGGATCTACAGAGCCTATTCTACAGAGCGAGTTCCAGGACAGACTCCATAGCTACAAAGAAATTCTGTCTTGAAAAAAACCAAAAGCCAAAATAAAATAGATTTTTTTTTCCCATATCTTGATTTCAGTTTGCCCTCTCTCTACTCCTCCCAGTTTCTCCCCACCTCCCCTCCCTTCTGGATCTATCACCTTTTTGTCGCTCATTAGAAAACAAACAGATTTCTAAGGAATAATAAAACAAAAATACAATATAATAAGATAAGGCATAAGAAACGGCGACCTACTACCCACATTCAGTGATCTCATAAAACCACTGAACTGGAAGCCATGTTATATACACAAAAGACCTGTAGAATAAAAGGAGAGAAATAAAATAAAAGTAATAAACCAAAATTTAAAGAAAAAGGAAAATCCCCGACACAACCTTATGAGAAAAAAAGCCCCTCCAAAGGTGCCAATGAGTTCATTTTTCCGTTGGTCATCTACAGCTGGGCATGCTGAAAACTGTTCTTTTTTTTTTTTTTTTTTTTTTTTTTTAAAGATTTATTTATTGTGTTTACAATGCTCTGCTTACATGTCTGCTTCAACACCAGAAGAGGGCACCAGACCTGATTACAGATGGCTATGAGCCACCATGTGGTTGCTGGGAATTGAACTCAGGACCTTTGGAAGAGTAACCAGTGCTCTTAACCTCTGAGCCATCTCTCCAGCCCTGAAAACTGTTCTTAACGGTTTAGCCATCTCTTCCGCCACCCATTTTTTAAAAACGTTTATTATCCTTAGCCATGGCATAACCCAAAACCAACTGATACTCCTTTTCACCTTAATTCAGAATGGCTAAGGTGGAGGAGAAGGCGGACTGGGGATGCATTTGTTCCTATTATTCCAGATTAAAAGGCAGGTGGGTTTCTGTGACACAAGGCCAGCCTGGTCTACACAATGAGTTCCAGGCCTGCTAGGACTACACAGTGAGACTGTCTCAAAAAGCAACAAAGAAAAAAATGCCTCCAATGTGAACGCAGTCACAATTCCAGATCACTCACTTCCTGAGAAAAACTTTGAGGGGCTCTACAGTTTTCCATCATGCACATTGCTGTCAGCTTTTCTAGATGGCAGAAAATACCTAGGATAGAATATCTGACTCTTTAATCACACTATTCACAGTGTATGCTGTGTTATCTTGGAGAACAGACACATCATGCAATCACTCAGTTTATCTGGCAAACAGCATGTTCCTTCTCAATATGGCTTACCTGTCATCAGACCTACTTACAGCTGACCTCCTAACTGTTAAGCAGACCATACACTATTCCCTAAGGTAAAGTGTACCTTTCCAACTTACTCCTCTTCTCAAAACAGACTTGTTTTCTGCATTACCTGTATTCATATATTTTGTGTGAGAATACCTGTCACCTGCAACCATTCTAAGACTACGTAAAAGGTCAATTGTGGCTTAAGTGAAATGTCTGTGTGCTAAGTTGCTTTAGGCAACACCAAGGCAGACTCATTAAAGTGGAGGGAGGGCATAGCAGAACCCACCTGACGGCTGCCAGGGAAAAGAGAATGAAGGTGCATGGATAAGGTGTATCCTTCTAAGGAATGGCCTTGGAATGATAGCCTCTCTAAGATCAATAAGGGGACAAAGGCATTCTATATTCCCTTTGATTTGGGAGAATCTGTTCTACTATGTTCCTTAATATTGAAATAACAGTCATGGGAAAAGTTCTAAATAAAAAGTCTAGAAAGTGGGAGCTGGAGAGATGGCTCAGAAGTTAACAGCATGGCTGCTCTTCTAGAGGACCCAGGTTCAATTCCCAGCAATCACATGGCAGCTCACAACTGTCTGTGACTCCAGCCCCAGGGGATCTGACACCCTTACACAGACATACATGCAGTATCAAAATGAATCACTACAAAAATCTGTAAAAATATAAGTGAATAGGAAATACCATCCAGTAAGAGAAGCTTGTGGGGATCATAGAGACTGAGGCACCAACAACGGAGTTTGCATGGGACTGACCTATGTCCTCTGCACATATGTACAGTTATGTGGCTTGGCCTTCTCGTGGGACTCTTAAAAGTGAGAGCAGAGGCTGCCTGCTTTGGGGACCCATTCCTCCTATCAGGTTGTCTCATCTAGAAGAGGAAGTGCCTATTCTCACTGCAACTTGATATACCAATGCTGATATATATATATATATATATATATATATATATATATATATATATGGCCTGGCTGTCCTGTTTTGAAGAGAAAGGAGTGGGAAAGTTGGGGGGAAAGGACTGGGAGGAAACTACATAAGGAGGGGAAACAGTGACTGGGACAGGAAAAAAATTAATTAATAAAAAAATACAAAGAAAAGCTTTGTACTATTATTAATGCTATTTACATAATGAAAACTAGAGAGAACATTTAAAAAAAAAAAAAAACAACTTTTTTGTTTGTTTTTTAAAGACAGGATTTCTCTGTTTACACAATCCTGACTACTCTGGAACCCTCTTTGTAGACCAGGCTGGCCTCCAACTCATAGAAATCCACCTGCTTCTTCCTCTTGAGTGCTGGAATCAAGTGTATGTGCCACCATGCCTCACTCAAAAATACATTTTTCTAATGGAACAAAACAAACAAACAAAAGAAAGACCTCTAACGTGAACTCTTTATTTTGTATAGAAGGAGCTGAATAAAACAATGGAAGATGTAAAGAATTTCCATGCACACAGAATGGGACATAGTACTCTGACAATCACAATGCCAACGAAAGAGACTGGTATGATTAACGCAAATCCCACGACAACCAAACTCCCCATGATATACCTCACAGACACCATACAGAGATTCCTACCAATGTCCATGGAAGAACAGAGACCTTGGGAGTGCACAGCAGCCCACGGGGCTGAGCTTTGGTTGTCTTGGCTTTGGTTCTAGATGAGACTGCAGAGACATACTACCAACCACACCATGCCAGTGGCAGAAAAGACAGACACACAGCCCAATGCAATACAGCAGCAGATGGAGAGAGCTAGACCAACAGCAACGACCATGCCAATGTCACCAAAATACTACACACTTGCTGCACAACAGGCAGCCTCGACAACCAATGGTGTTGGGAAAAGAATATGATCACACAGAAAATATGGGGGATGTAGGGAATTTGTCTCTGAACAGAATAACACATCACTAGGACACAAAAGCACAAACTGACAAACAGGACGCATTTCAGTTTCCAAATACAGGAAGCAACCAATGCGATTGTAGGGAGAAAATAAACAGTGATGCAGGGAAGCTTCCACATCCACTATCCAGTGATGCATAAGGAAACCAGACAGAAAACCAATAATGCCTACCTAGCAAGTATTCAGAGAATAAGCCACAGAACAACAGGAGACTTTTCAGGCAGAGTTCTCTAACTTCAAGAAATACTCTCCAAAGCCAGGCAATGGTGACATACACCTTTAAATCCAGCACCTAGGGGACTGTGGCGGGGGAGGGGGGTATCTCTGAGTTGGAGAC